TAGAAATTAATCGCCCAGCAAGTAAAGGGGCGCAGCCAAGGAGGAATATAAACCTTCCTGGAAATGGAGTGGAAGGATTATTTTCGGGCGGGAGTGTCTGGAGGAGGAGTAGGAGGGGACCGCTGCAGGCGAGCGAGCCCTGAGCTTTGTTTAGCCCGAAACCCGCGTCGTCGCCGGCCGCGCTTTCTCACGCTAATTGCTTCTCTCGGGCTTGGCCATTAAGGAAAATTACGTAATCTGACCTCGCGTGACCTTCCCATACGTAACCAGCACTCACTCGCGTGAACTTGCGATTATTTGGGCTTGAAGTGCGTGGATGAAGCATTTATAACACAGTGGTTCGAACAGATGCCGTCAGTGAAGCAGTTGAGTTACACATTGACTCGTTGTGAGTCGTGTGTGAACCGATTTTCATCCGTAAACAGGGGGTTTGGCAGCTGGGTTAACGAGAATTTGGCTTTGTTTATGAGAGCGGGTTGCACAGTGTAGTTGAGTCACAGTGTAGGTGAGTCAGTGTAGGTGAGTCAGTGTAGGTGAGTCACAGTGTAGTTGAGTCACAGTGTAGTTGAGTCTTAGTGTTCGCTTGAGTGCAACACTCAATCGAACAGTCGTAAGCAGGCACGGAACTCTACTGTCACCTTCTCGTTAATTAAACAGTCTTGTTTAAATTCCTCTTGCGCGAAGCACTTTTTTAGCTTCGTTAGTGTCGCTAACTACTCTCGTTGGTTGTGACTGATGCCTGACTGCTGTTGACATGTGACCTCGCCTGTAACTAAGCAATTATATAAAATCACCGAATTAAATAACCTAAAAAACAGAGATAAGAACACAATGTTATAAGCGCAGTTGAGTTAAAACCGTGAGGACCTGGGTTCGATTCCCGTTGCAGTACAGTGAAGTTTATAGGTTCCGTTTCCGTCCACGTTTTGTGGGGTTGCATTCTAGGTAAGGTCAGTAGTTGACCTGGGATTACCTCGATTAGTCTAACAGGCGTCCTGTCCTCCACTGCGGAAAATAATGAGCGATGATTATTGGCACCTGCAGAAGTGTTGATATTTGTTAGTTTGTTCGCTTGTTATTGTGTGTATTGTTCGCTTGGTATTTACCTGGCTGCCGCTCTGTCAGGGCTGCCACTCTGTCAGGGCTGCCACTCTGTCAGGGCTGCCACTCTGTCAGGGCTGCCACTCTGTCAGGGCTGCCACTCTGTCAGGGCTGCCACTCTGTCAGGGCTGCCGCTCTGTCAGGGCTGCCGCTCTGTCAGGGCTGCCGCTCTGTCAGGGCTGCCGCTCTGTCAGGGCTGCCACTCTGTCAGGGCTGCCATTCTGTCAGGGCTGCCACTCTGTCAGGGCTGCCAGTCTGTAAGGGCTGAAACCGTCAGGGCTATCACTCTGTCAGGGCTACCATTCTGTCAGGGCTGCCATTCTGATAGGACTGCCACTGTCAGGGCTGCCACTCTCACGCCTGCCATATTCTCAGGGCTGCCACTGTCAGGGCTGCCACACTCTCACGCCTGCCATATTCTCAGGGTTGCCACTCACACGAGCAGCAACCAAACACGGCAGACGATAGTCCAATATATTTCTTGGCCGTTTCCTTTTCAAAGATTATACATTCATGAAATTCATATTAGAAATTCCAGAAAAATATTGATGAGAATAATATATTCACTCCTCGTGATATTTTTATATCACTACTTGGCAAGCGTCGTTGAATTCATTACCGAATTTAAATCAAAAGATATATTGCTATTTCGATTGTACTAATCCACGACTATACTGCCGATTGGTTTGAGCTCATAGTGCCTCTCAACCGCCGGAGAGTTAACCTAGAGACTTGCTGACCAACCTGCAACGTAAAGTATACTTTTGTACTGGACATTGTCCTGAACTAAAAGTATAATTTCAGTGTATATTCACCGAGAAGCAGCATACATCTTTGGTTGTAGATGTGCCTGTGTTCGATTCATTCCCATATTACTGGTGTACCGAGACGGTACCGGGATATAGCGGTAGTAATAGCGCATTGCTGAATGCTACAATTTAGTGCTTTATATTTAGGGGAAAGTGGGTACTTTATTTTCATTAATTGATACGAAGTCATGTCCTCACATATGGACGTACCAGACATGCTTGCCAGGGTCAGCTGTCATCAGCTTCTTGTGCTCGTCTGAGCCAGAGTACCCAGTCCTCGTCTTTACTAAATAACTCAAATATTTCCACCAGCTAATGTACACGAAGGGGGTGGGTGTACTCGGCCTCTCCATATATATATATATATATATATATATATATATATATATATATATATATATATATATATATATATATATATATAGTATACCATATAATAAGCACTAAGAGTTTACTTTAATACTAAACTATGTTCAAGACTAAAGTATTCTTGCTGGTTGGTCAGTAATTAATTATGACGGCCTTAATAAGTCTTCTGAGGTTGATAAGACTGAAGCCCAACACCAAACCAATCCAACTATATCATTATTAAATACACAACTCATTATAAATGACGGAACAGCAATGGAAGCTACGGGCAAAGGTTATTACACAAAAAAAAATGTCAAATTATAAAATTTAAAAGAAAGCTTCACTTCCCAGTCTGCCTTCCTCTCGCCGTCTCAGAATGGCGCCATCACCGACGAAACTCACTTACCTTCCCGCTCAAGCATCAGGTGGTCACTAGAGAGCCACTCCAGCCTCTAGGTATGGACCTTAACCCATCAGGAGGCTTCACACTCCCTGTGGTCAGACACTTAACTTCATAGATGGGCGCCTAGTCCCACTTTAAGATGCTTTGACCATTCGACGAGTCACTTTCTTGGACTACACAAGTTCCCCATCAGCCCCTACTGGTCGCCCCTTCCTGCGACATCATTTTGCCATGATGCTGAATATAATGTCTCGCTTTGTTTTTCTATATCTTTTGTTTCTCTGTTGTTCTCGATCTTTTCTCTCTCTCTTCCTGCGTCTATCTGTATTTGTCTCTCTGTTTCTGGCTGTCTTTCTCTGTATCTCTGGTACCCGTCTGTAGGCGGCAGAGACAGGTTCACGGTGGGGCTCGGGCGGGTGTACAAGGAAAACTGACGCTGCAGTCAGCAGAAGAGTGAATTTAATTCACGTCAATGAGATGCATTTTATATTTCAAATGATCAATGATATAAAACAAATAGCAGCAATAAAATTTGTTCGTGGTTTTGGATTTAAGTTTTTGCAGTTATAATACTTTAAAAATTAACTTTGAAATTATTAAAATCCCTCCCTTCTCCCAATCAAAATTGAAGTGTATTTAAAACCACGTCAGAATTAAATTCGGTAGGCCTAGGCTGTCTAACAATGGGAGAGAGCCATAGCCTGGTGTCAAGTGTTATGAGGCTTCAGTTCCGGTTCCCGTCACCTTTTTAGGTAACAAAACTAAAATGAGTTCATTAAATGTAAGGACTGAAGGAGAAACACGATTTTAAAATATTTTCCGAATTTATTATGTTACATCAGTAGTATAAAATGTTTCCTAACAAACGACAAGCACCAAAATGATCTTCTATTATGCAAGCACACATAATATTTACAGACAAGACTAAGAAACACACAAAAATTACATAAATGCTTTGTATAAATGTAATCTAATCATACAGGAACGGTAACTGGGTTCAGCATTTGAAAACAACATAAATCTTATGCTATTGTCAAGAAAATATGTCCTACACTGTACGGAAACACAAACTAAGAAGCATTAGTTGGTTCTGGCTATAAATTACCTATGAATAGCAGTCCTTACGGGGCAGACTTACGAACATCGACATGCGAATTAGCGACTATTATCCGTAAAAGTATATCTGGATTTGACAAATATATCTTATATCTGGTGAGATATATTGAGAAAATGCCTTCTCGTACATATAGCATATTACTAGGCCCGGATATATATATATATATATATATATATATATATATATATATATATATATATATATATATATATCTCTAGGCATTTACTGTGGCACGTCAGTATATAAAAGTTACCTATTCATTATACATACAAATAAAAAAACCTGTTTGCTTAATCCTCCCGGGAACCCCTCCCCCCCCCTCCCCCCCAACACACAAGAAATATATAAACAAACATAAATGATTTTTTATAAAATATGCTTCCTAAGCCGACCAGCTCTGTTTATAACACGAGGAAAGTCAATATGATATTCCACACTGAAAAAAAAATTGATATTCCTCATTTTAAGACAATGTGATATTCCTCATTTTAAGACAATGTGATATTCCTCACTTAGAGACAAGTATGCATGAGGTCAGCCACTAAATCAAAACCTTGCTAGCGATCAGCGACATACAGCACGACTTGCAACTAACCCAAAATGGGTTCTTGAACAACTAAAATGGAACATTTAAAATCTGGCTTCTACCGCTTGGTCTATCAACATTGAACACTTTCCTTTTGCCCCCCAGAGGAATATATGGAACTCATGTATCCTTTCTGTCCCAAATAGATTACAGCGAGCTACACACACACACACACACACACACATTAATTCTGGTCTTCATGCCATGGAATACTTGAAATTGGAATAACTGGAATTGGAATAATTGGAATAACATCAAATTGTTATTTAACTGCATAGGTAATGGGAAGTGGGCATTTCGTATGTTTAAGTGTGCAGTTGAAATTTGTTACTTCGATGACTGAAGTTAGGTAGTTCGTGTGTCCACGATAGCCAACTGAAGAGTTGGTGTATGTCTTATTGTTGGTTTGGGTACTACCATCTATGTTCCCAGTGTTGTTGATCAGAGGCCAGATTCACGAAGCAGTTACGCAAATACTTACGAACGTGTACATCTTTCCTCACTCTTTGACGGCTTTGGTTACATTTATTTAACAGTTTACAAGCCTGAAAACCTCCCTATCAACTGTTGTTATTGTTATAAACAGCCTCCTGGTGCTTCGGAGCTCATTAACTGTTTAATAATTGTAAACAAAGCCGCCAAAGATTGAGAAAAGATGTACAGGTTCGTAAGTGCTTGCGTAACTGCTTCGTGAATCTGACCCCAGACCACGAACGCCTGTATTCCATATATTGATAGCTAGGCTACGAACGCCTATGTTCTCTCTATTGTTGATTTGGCCACGAATGCCTGGGTTCTCTATAGTGCTGATTTGGCTACGAACATCTGTGTTCTTTATATTGTTGGACTGACCACAAACATCTCTGGTCTCTATTACAAATTATATAGGAAATGGTTGGTGATAAATTTTCATACATGGTCACTGCGGCACTAAACGTATCTTGGAATTGGCTGCCTCGTGTTCTAAGATATATACTATTTAATCCTTTAACTGCTCTCTCAAATGGAGATACATGAAGGTCGTTTCTGAAAGATTACTGTGGTCACATAACTCATGGCAGCCTACCGACCTAAACTTTACACGAGAAGAGCAGCTTTCCAAAGAGCAATAAGAATATTAAGAAGAATTTTAAATTAGGAAAGGGAGAAGAACAAAACATTAATAAGAACACAGGAAATAATGAAAAAGAGGAAGAATGAGGAAGGATGAAAGAATAAAGCCATATCATACTAATGAATGATCACAGTATGTTAAAAAAAATCGAATGGATAAACAACAAAAACAGGGATCATTTAAAACTACTAGCAAAAATTAACTAGCAAACTAACCACGCTCACTGAGCCCAGATTTTCCCCAAAAAACTCTTGTTTTTGTCATCTTTCCGAATAGTCCCAAGTTGGCTGCATGGCATTTTTTCACGGTGGGAAAACTGAAACAAAGAGTGGAGGGGGAAAAGTAAGTGAGGTGTAGGCGGACATACGCCTGAGCGAAGCAAAGCATTGCTCGAACACATTCTCGGGGTGCTCCAAAACGAAAGAGTTAGTTCCAATCGAGTTGGAACTCTGTTTCCCTCTCTCTCTCTCTCATTCTCTGTCTTTCACTCTCCTATTTCTCATTATTTCTCCCATTCTACTCTCTCTCTCTCTCTCTCTCTCTCTCTCTCTCTCTCTCTCTCTCTCTCTCTCTCTCTCTCTCTCTCTCTCTCTCTCTCTCTCCTCTCTTTTCATCCCCCTTTCCAACTCAAAAATTTCCTTCCGAAAGTTCCAAAAAGTTATGTCTCGCACACAGATCACCGCTCTCGAGTTGTGTGTATGTGTGTGTGTTTGATTTGTGAGTGTGTGTGTTTACCTTTTAGTACCTACAGGGTTCAGCTGTTGCTCTTGGGTCCCGCCTTTCTAACCGTTGGTTATCTATTGTACTGGCTCCCGACCTATTTTTTCTCTCATATCTACCATATGTCTCTGTCACACACGAATACATCCCCATGGATGTACAGACGGCAACAGCTGACTTACTACCCCAGATACTTATTTACTTCTAGGTGAACAGATGCATCAAGTGAAAGAAATTCTGTCCATTTGTTTCTAGCTCTTCCTGGAATTGAACGGTCCGTGGACTGCGACTCCCGAACGCTGTGCACTCGGCCGCACCTGTGTGAGTGAGTGAGTGAATGAGTGCGAGACAGTCCAGAGATGGGCGGATTTATTGAAACTAATATTAGACTTCTTTCTTTTACACTTTTGTTCTGGAAAATTTCAGTCACACAAACATTTACCAACACACACATAAACAATGCTTTGATATGTCAAAACTTTGGAAAAGAACTTTTTTTTTTTTCATTTTGATCGTCAGTGATAACTTGATTTGTAGAGCAGCGTTGCCTCTTCAGCGTATTTTACGGACTAAGATTTATCTTATGGAAGGCAAGATATTTTCTCTTATTCTTTTTCATTATTGTTCACTTTATTGGAACTAGAGATAATATTTAATAAATTTCTCACAGTAACTTACACACAAAAACATACATTTACACATACACAAACACGCGTAAAAATATGCATTTATACGCAAATTTTTCCTGGAGAATATGAAGCCTGAGTCGCTCAGCTTCTTACGTTGCTCCTCGGCATAGTTTGCTTGGCTGCAACTCTTGCAATATCTAGAGAATGTGGAGTGCTCCGCCGTTTTGTGTCGACAGTCCTTCACTGCAGCACTAAAGACCTCTTTGGAGAGGATCATAAACATTCCACTTCATTGAATAAACTTTGCAAGTTTGTAAAGCAACGGCAGAATGGCGTACGTTCTTATCACTGCCTCGACGCTATGAAAACTAACCAAAATATTGTGTGTGATGAATTTTGTCCTCGATCACCTCTTGGGATCCGGCGATGTCTGTCAACTCGTCTATTGTGGCGATGGTCACGTCTGGGCGGCTGGAGCTCTGTACGCCGGGTTTCTTGTTCTTCATCTCTTTTGCTTTCAGTTTTTTGGCATGAAGCGACTGTCCCTCGCAGGTGTAGTAGAAGGCGGAGTGGCGGCTGTAGGCGACCACGCCCACTATCACCAGGATCAGAAAGAGCAGCACAATGCAGCAGCCTATTACAATTACCATGTGCAGCTTCTCTCTCAGCAGCCTCGTCAAGGACCAGTCTATGCTGTGGTCTTCCTGAATGGTCAGTTGGCTCCGCGGTAACATTGGCTCGATGGTGCCCTCGCTGAGGACTGGTGTGTTCCACGAGGGCGCGGCTGCTGGCAGCTCCTGCGGGCACGAGGGAAGGTCACCCAGAGGCAGTAGAGCCAGTTCAAGTCCCTCCACGCCAGGAGGACTGACACACTTGAGACACGTCCACACTCGCGGTTCCTGACAGCCAGACTCCTGGTCGGGAGCGTCCTGGAGCCAGCGAAGCAGAGGTCCCACGTGGCACTGGTCGCAGTGCCATGGGTTTCCTTCCAGTCGCAATTTACGCAGTTGTTTCGAGGCACTTATTGCTGACACCGTTTTGTCATCGAGTCCTCTGAAGCTGTTGCGGGAAAGATCAAGGGAACGGAGTTGAGGAGCATTCAGTAGTGCATCCGTAGGAAAGGCAGAGAGGTAGTTGGAGGAGATGTTGAGATGATGCAGGTTCCCCAAATCCTGCAGCAGGCCAGGTGGCAGACGCATGAGACCCATGTCCCCCAGACCTAATCGTTGCAGTTCTCGTGCTGCAGGAAGCACAAACAACAGCTGCTCTATGTGCAAAGAGTTTCCGGAGAGATCAAGTTCATGGAGGTCGCCCAGAGCATCTCGTATAGCTTCGTTATCAAAATTGACGAGACGGTTGTAAGAGAGATCAAGATACTTGAGTGAGCTGTTAGTGAAGGCCCCGGGCTCCACGCGACTAATCCGGTTGTGCCCCAGGTGCAAGTAGCCGAGCGATGAGCCTGCAATTACTCCGTGCTCAACAAATGAGATCAGATTAGCGTCTAAATTGAGATTGATAAGTTTGGGCAGGAATGTGGTGGCCAGCCCGGATGGCACCTGCGTCATGCGATTATTGTGAAGATCGAAGGTGTGCAAGTTTGGCAGGGCCTGGAGTAGTGAGGAGCTGAGAGATGAGAGGCCACACCCAGCGCACACCAAATGTCGCAGCTCGGGAACGTCTGAGAACTGCTCGGGGTGAAGATCTCCCAGTGGATTGAAACTCAGATCAAGTCGTTCCAGACGAGTGAGGCCAAAGAAGATTCTGGGCACCAGCTCCGGCACGGCGTTGTGGGCCAGGGTGAGTGACTGCAGGCGACGCACGTATCTGAACACCGCCGAGGGCACGGACTCGATAAGATTGTGGCTGAGGTCCAGGTGCTGAAGCACGTCGGCGCCGCGGAAGTTGGTGTCCATGAGCGCTGCGATCTGGTTGTGCGTGAGGTTGAGGACGTGAAGCCGCTGGAGTCCCCAGAAAGAGTGCGCCCCGAGAGCTGGAATGCTGGCCCAGGTGATGTGGATTTCTTCTAGGCGTCGCAGCTCCTTGAAGATCGGGCCGAGAGTGAGGGAGTTGGGATGGTGAGGAGGCGCCGTGATCACCAGCACCTCCGTGTTCACGGCCATGTTCAAGACAGGTATGGGGTCGGCCATGCCACCTGCCTCGCACCTCACTGCTCGGCGACCGCGGCCATCCAGGCTACACCGGCACACATCTGGACACGGCCGCGCTGCGCCTGCGCACGTCCACACCGCCAGCGCCAGAAACACCACCTGAAAAGAACGAAAAATTGTCATTGACAAAGACGCCGGCTTGAGAGTCACGCACATTATTACTGACGGAAGAATATCAAAACCTATGTGGAAAGACCTGGGAAATCAGGAAAAACGTGGGTAAATATTGGTTTGGAATTAGGGCTGTAGATTTATGGAGCAAATTATCGGGTAACATAATAGACGTGAGATCACTGGATGGCTTTAAGCGTAAGTTAGACACGAATGAATTTGGGTGAATTTAAATAGGAAGTCTTATATGCTAACAGGTCTTCTGCAGGTTCCTTAATTCTTATATTTATGATGGTCCCTCTCCACACCTCGGGGTGGGGTGGGGGGGGGGGGGGGGTGGAGGGGGACGAGAATAGCAGGGGATCGCTGTCGGGAAGGGAAGGGAACAATTAGGGGAAAGCGCCAAGCCATTACGACTATATAGCACTTGGAAGGGATAAGGATTGGGACAGCAATTTTTTTTTATAACATATTTTACACAAAAATATGTATACAAAATGCATATTTTAACAGATGTATTCAAGTCATCCTGAATTTTACATCCTAATATCACAATAGTACGGCAGAAATTTTGAAAATGAATTAAAAAAAGGTCAAAATTAAATCGAAAAACATTACACACAGAAATCACAATAGCGTGATGCATCAAATGAACAAATTGTTCATTTGAAAAACAATTGTTCTCATCGTACTCTTACGACTCGGGAGTGAGAGAACACAAAAACGCAGCTGACTACGTCTACACTTCCTGGCAGGTTCAACCCAAGTGCTCCATTTACGGTTCAATTCCTGACCCAAGGTCCCTTGAGAGGAATGATACGGAGCACAGGTCATGTACTAAGGGTCACAAGATGATTGCTAACCAAAGATTTGGTTCGAAGAGATATATTACATGTATATCGCCCCAGTTGGACACGTATATGAGTGGGGTTGGGTGGTTATAAATAGGAGCTGCCTCGTATGGGCCAATAGGCCTTCTGCAGTTACCCTTGTTCTTATGTATGTTCTTATTAAAGCATACGAATGAAGGAAATTGCATGCAGAAGGCTTATTGGCCCATATTTATATCCACCTAAACTTATTAATATATTACATATATTAAGCAGAGCAGATAAACACCTTAATATTCTCTTTGATATGTGTAATTAAATACAAACTCAGTCCCCACCTCCCACAATGCAATACCATGATGGTATTCCTTAACAAGAAACCTGAACATTAATTTCGGTCCAATTAAGCCTATTATTTGCACACTAGAGCCGTGTCCTGGATGCTGTTAATTGGCTCCTCTATTAGTTGCTATTTACAAGTTCAAAATAGTCCCCAAGCGACGGGGATTGTACTGACTCCTTTTTTTTTTGGTGTTATGTTTTAGAACGTTCCGGTGTTTTAAAATGCAAATGAATACCCGAGTAACAGTTAATTGCACGCGCGGGTAAAATTATGTGAATTTTTCATAAACTTTCGAAAGACTATTAAAAGTAATTCGCAATGGGAATTGTTTTCCCTATTCCATTTCCATGCAGTGGTTTACATACACACGCGCGCGCGCGCACACACACACACACACACACACACACACACACACACACACACACACACACACACACACACACACACACACACACACACACACACACACTAGGCTCAGGAATCTGTACACCAGTTGATTGACGGTTGAGAGGCGGGACCAAAGAGCCAGAGCTCAACCCCCGCAAGCACAATTAGGCAATTAGGTAAGTACACACACACACCTCCGGAAGCCGTGACAACAGCCAGTGAAATATCTTATTGGACTTGTACCCCGCCTCCATTGTTGAGAAGTACCTCTGACCCCCGGTGTTGGGAGGGGCCAGGGAGGGCAGGGCGGCCAGGGACCAGGAAGGTCGGCAGGGCGGCCAGGGACTAGGAAGGTCCGCATGGCGGCCAGGGACCAGGAAGGTCCGCAGGGCGGCCAGGGACCAGGAAGGTCCGTAAGGCGGCCATGGGACCAGGAAGGTCCGCAGGGCGGCCAGGGACCAGGAAGGTCCGTAAGGCGGCCATGGGACCAGGAAGGTCCGTAAGGCGGCCATGGGACCAGGAAGGTCCGCAAGGCGGCCATGGGACCAGGAGGAACATGCTAAACCTGCCAGCAACGCAAGCACTATTTTCTCGTCTCCTCCAGCCCCAGCTGGCCGCCCCGAGGCTGGGTGCTGGGAAGGTCTAGGCTTGCGAGCAGCGGCGTTGCTGGGATATTATCCACATCGAGGCTGAGGGCAAGAGGTCGAGCCCTCTTGCCCTCACACGCAAGATTGGACGCCGTCCAAAGAGAGATCTGAGAAGCTATATTTCTTGTCAACTTTATCCTGCCCTTTACTTGCTGTAAATGGAGGGTTAATGGGGGTGTATTAGCAAGGGGCTCCAGTGTTGTGAACGTGGCCGAATGTGACCACTCTTCCCCCTGGCCCTCACTACAGCTGAAGGTTCTCTTCCTACTCTCTACTCCTCCGGGATGAGGCTTTCCCTACCCCGTCCATGGACCGGTTCACAACCAGCATGCCGCCCCATGGACCGGTACACAACCAGCATGCCGCCCCATGGACCGGTACACAACCAGCATGCCGCCCCATGGACCGGTACACAACCAGCATGCCGCCCCATGGACCGGTACACAACCAGCATGCCGCCCCATGAACCGGTACACAACCAGCATGCTTCCCCATGGACCGGTACACAACCAGCATGCCGCCCCATGGACCGGTTCACCCACGAACTCACAACGTACGGCCTCGCTAAACCTAACCTCAACCATTCCGTAGAAGTAATGGACCGAATGTAAATGTCTGCGAGTCCAAAACCTGTCACCATGAAGGCCCTTGACCATCCCGGGCACTCACGGCTGACAGGTGGATGTCACCGAGTCCACACTCACGGCTGACTGGTGGATGTCCCAGTCACCTGTCACTGGCCAGCAGAGAGCACAGCCTCACACAGTCAGCATCACCCAATCGCGAGCAGTAAATTACCGCAGTGTTTCCTAACCTGAAGCTATATAGAGTTCGATTATTACCGAGGCTTAGGGATGTAGGAAGTCCGGACTATTACCTGGCCTGAGGGTGTAGGGAGTCCGGACTACTACCTGGACTTGCATAGCAGCGAGAGCCGTGAGTGCCTCGCCGGAGTGTCCTTGACTGGGACAACTGGCACAGGTGTGAGAAGGAGTGCCACAGTTTGTTGCGCTCTCTCGCTCCTCTAATTGTTATGGGTGTGGGGGGGGGGGCAACACCAGAGGGACGGGGCGGGGGAGTGTGGGAGGGGAGGGGAGAGGGAAGGGGGAGGGGAGAGGAGATGGAATAGGGGAACTGGAAATGCAAGAGGAGTATATGTAGAAATGTACTGTTAGGTGTTATAGATCATTAAGTAGGGTGGAGTGTTGGGTGAGAAGCAGGTATGTGGGGAGGGGAGGGGGGGGGGGGAGACGCAGTGGGTGTGGGGAAAGGATAGGGGTTTTGGGCGGGTAGTAGATAATAATACAAATACAATAATAATAATGAGCTTAAGACACTCAAGATGGTCTATGTGAATGTTACGCAGTATTTCTCTATCGACATCCATATATGTTGAAATACATGTGAAGAACCTTACACACACACCCGCAGCTCCCTTGACAAAAGACAGCAAGCTTACCTTAGCTACCAAACTCACACGCACACATCGCGTCAGCAAGGCGGACGGTCCGCCCGGTGTCAGCAAGGCGGACGGTCCGCCCGGTGTCAGCAAGGCGGACTGCTATCATAGGTCATACTAATATTTCCCATTACTTTTCTCTTCACACCTCTGCCTCTCCATCTTCAAAAAAAAAAGTAGGGTGGGGAAGTAAAGAGTGGGGTGGAGTAGTGTGGGGTAGATAAGAGATAGAGATAACAGGAGACGGGGGTGAGACATGGAAAATTAATATATCCAAGTGAAAGAAAGTAATGTGTTTATCAGTTGCTGCAGTACCCCGAGGACGAGAGAGCTAGGGGACACTGTCCTCACCTCATTGTGCTTGAGTTGGTTGTGTTTCAGCTCTTTGACTCCGCCTCTCAAGCTTAGTTTAGTTCATTTATTATGCACCCCATACCCATCTTGTGGGCGGTAGTGGAAAGGGTTACAGAGGCACATAATGGGCTCAGGGACTGAACCCCACAATTCATTTAGCTAAGCAAGTTACAATCTTGATGAGCTAGTTACAAAATTCAATATAAGTCATCACATCAACAATGGGTTCGAGATCGACCTCAAGTACAGGTTCTAAATTAAGCAACTGACATATGTGGAGAGCTAGTGTCACAAGTTATATGTTTGTCCTGCACACCGCCCCCCATCCAGTGGGAAGCGGTGGATAGGTTACAATCACTTAGTTACTACCTACAGTTAGCAAACTGGGGATATTTGGCTAAAATTTCTGGTAGCAGATCATTTGGAATGAAATATTGACACATCGCTGGAACATTGGTTATAGCTTCAATTAATTTGTGTACAGTTTCCCGAGCCCGTTACTTGTTTATTTCCCCTGAGAATTTTGTATGTCGTAATCATATCTCGCCCTGACCTTTCCGTCTTACAGTGCAGTGTAATACCATCAATCTTTCCCCCAGCTTCATTTTGTGCTCGACTAGATGAGGAGTCCTCGGTATATTATAGAGCTGGACTTAATTAACTGTGACACAAAGTCCAAAATTATTTCTTACAGGTTTCAAGAGGCAGTTTCTATGTTAAATAATCTATCAAGCGCCGATGATGATATCTTCTTGATGTAGGCTTCTGGACACCAGTGAGCCCGAGATGACAGGTGGGTTTGTGTTGACAGGTGGGCTTGTGTTGACAGGTGGGCTTGTGTTGACAGGTGGGCTTCTGTTGACAGGTGGGCTTCTGTTGAGAGGTGGGATTCTGTTGACAGGTGGGCTTGTGTGTGTGGAACGGTGGTGGTGGGAGGGGGAAGTGGGTGTTGTGGTGGTGGGAGGGAG